CATACTCCTGTCACACCACCTGCTGCTTGTAGTGGAGCAATGTGTACATGCCCCAGGCACGAGACTCCAGTATGAACTCAAATGCCACAGTCCTTAGTAAACATTTGTGGAACAAAGAGTTAGAGAAGAAGTTGTATCACACTGGCCAGACATTTGGACCTCTCTGTTCTCAGGTTCCTCAGATGTGAGGTTGAGAGCTGGATGTACTTGTTCTAAAACGCTGCAGGAGTCTTAATCCAACAGCCCACTCAGTACCTGTCTTCCTTCTCTTCCTGCAGAAGCTCTAGGTCTTTCCTAGCTTTAAAAACCTCCAGATTTTGACATAAACAGTGCTACTGTTAAAGATTCTAACCGATTCATTAATCTGTAGAGTTTGTTTAAACATACATAAGATACCTGGAAATTAGTTTTAGTTGTTTGGACATCCAAATCTATGTGACAATGAGATGACTTTTCAGAGTTTGAGAGACCCAAGAAAACTTAATAATGCTTTTGCTGAGTTACATGTATATAGCTCAAAATGGAGTGGAGGATCAGAATGGAGGTGAAACATCAAAAGATAAGGGGGGCTTAGATCTTAACCTTATGTTTTACCAAGTGTAAATATTTGTCGAGTTGTCGTAAGGTGACTTAAGGAAGGCATTCCTGAGAGAAAGGAGGATAGGACATGGATAAGTAGAGAACATAGCATGAAAGTCTGTAAATTTGCCTTGATGGCAGAAGCAGAGGTTGTGCTAGGAGGAGCAGCAGCCACGTAATGAGTTTCCAGAGGTAGACCAGAGCGAGCTAACTGAGAAACTTATATGCTATAGTCAGTAAGACTGAGTCAAAATAGGGCAGGATTCTGAGCTGTTGTACATAGAGTCACTGGGAGTAGCAGGTGATTCAATGATACATAATTACACAACAACATATGCCATAGGATGGCGATAATTGGAGAATTTATATTCTATAATTTGGATTTCTGATTGTGTTCTAAAGGAAACCCTGAAAGGACAAAACCCCTAACACTGTGGTTTTCAAAAGTTTTCTTTTCAGGTTTACTTTGACAGCAAAAAAGAAAATGGTTTGGAGAGTGGAGGTGTGAAGATTGCTTCCTGTCTTCTGTCCTTCCATTTATCCTTTCATTCATCTGTCCCCTCACTCCCCAAACAAACATCATTGAGTGCTTGGTTCAGAGAACAAGCTCTATAATCAGACATGCCTCCATTTCCAATCCGGTCCAGCCATCTCCTATTACGTGACTTTGGGCGAGCTACTCAGCCTGTTAAGAATTGGGTTTTATCACCTGTAAAAAGATTTATAATAATGTCCACTGTTATTTGTTAGGTTGATTGGGAAGTATAAGTGAGATAAAAACTTAAGAAATGCTGGCCTAATGCCAGGAACTCATAAACATCCAACAAGGTTTAGCTATTTTTATTGCTATTGACAAATTGGAAGTATCACTTGTTAATATCTATAAAATGGAGCTGTTGTTGTACCATTGAGGATTGTAGTAGGTCTTAGCTCTAATACCACAGAAACTATGTTAAATGCTCCTGTCAGTCAGCAGGTGCTGTCTAGTAAAGCTTAGAGAAGGTGTAAGCGTGTCTTGAAGGGTGAACAGGAATCTATCTGACAGGCAGACAGAGAGGGGAGAGGTGAGTTGTTGATGAGTCTAAGGATTGGAGACTGACAATGTTTATTATGAAAACCTGACCTAATGTGTAGGGTTGTAATGTGGAAACTCTTCAGGAGAACATAGTGAGTACTAAAATACAGACAGGTTTCAAATTGTGATCAGGAGAGAACTTTTATTCCATGCTGAGTAGCTGGGGCTTTGGGATTTCGTAGGGGACCAGAAAGAGCGTTGGAAGATGTAACTATTGGGATGTGAGAATATAGAAGCAGGGGGCACTTGGAGGCTATCAGAAGAGTTGAGGCAAAGGCACCAAGAGTCTGAACTCCAAAGGGTTCAGGGGTGAAAGTTAAGGAGCTTGCAGGGGTGTGTTTTTAGGGTGAATGGAAGGAAAGATTGATTTGCAGCCAGGGAGAGAAATGATAATGTCCTTTGAATGGGGCAGGAGTGAGAGGCTTGGGAGGAAACATGCAGCTCTGTTTGGAGCTGGAGCTGCACATGAGACAGCCATCTGGCGGAAATATGCACTTGGAGGCGGATAGTAGACTGAAGCTCACAAGTGTGACCAGGGCTGGAAATGGGCAGAGGGGCCCTGTGCTTGCAGATATAGTCGAAATCACATAGAGAGATAAGGGATCTACCTCTGAGAAAGGGCCAAATTTGAGGTCAGATACTGAGAGAGGAACTGGTGGCAGAGTTGAGAAGAGAACTTGAAAAGAGAGAGATTGGGTGTGACCTGTTCAGAAGAGGAAAGATCTGGAAGAAGGGAGTCAGCTGTCTTAAAGACAGGAGAGACTGAAGTCTCTACTTGTAAATAGCAGTGCGAGTTGATTGGCTCATGTGTTGAAGACAGTCAAGTAGTACCATAATGTTAAGTAGATAACATGCCCATATAAATAATAAAGCATAAAACATAGCACACATAGGAAATTAATGGTACAGTGGCTTGTATGGGCTGCACAAGAGAGCAAGAACAACAATATGTAACACATGCATTATTTGCATAAAAATAGGATAACCAGATCCTTAAGTAGCATCCATAGGGTGGCCTGGAGGGGGAACTTAGAAGAGGAAACCTCATGGATATTGCCAACATTCAGTATGAGATGTTGTTTGAGATCATTGGAATGAGTTTTCCTCTGGGGTATATTTTTGTAGGGGAGATCTTTCACTTAAATATCTTCTTACCAGCCATTTATTACCTGGGTTTCAGAATTTGGAGAAAGATAAAGAGATCTTTTTTCCATTTCAGAGTCTGGAATGACCATGTTGAAGATGTCACTTATCTGAAAGAGAAAGGGCAACTGTGCGTTTGTTTTGCCTGAGATGGGCATACGCTTGACTTGTTATCCGCACTCTTGCACTTTTTTGGTTGGAGTCAGGACTAAGGCTACTCTTCCATCTAAGTGATTCTGACACAATTTGATGTTTGTAATAGTTGGCCTGGAACTGGCCCAAGAAAAAAGACATCACCACAGAGAGTGAATATTTGGGTCTAATCTCCAATTTGCATCCCCTAAAGAGCGTGCTTGCCTCCACTCCTGAGACTCGGCTCCTTCACCTGGGGACCATGACTTCCTTTCTCTGGGCTTTATAGGAGTAAATGAACGCAGAGAGGATAAGGGATAGTGGAAGATGGGGAGATTGAAGGGACCCTTTTGTAAGAGACATCTTAAGCTTTCTGACACTAGTTTCTCATAGTATTAGGAATGTGATTCTAAATATAAATTGTGTTTTAGGATGAAGTGAAACACTGGGCCTTGCTTACTTTTCTTCCATGGAATCCCTGGGTGATGCAAATGGAGGCTCAGCTGCTGAGCGGTTGATAAGATAGTTCAAGTCCACCCAGAGGCATCTGGGGAAAAGACCTGATATCCATCTCCAGAAAAATCTGTTGAGCTCAGTTCTACTCTGACTCACACAGGTTTCCAAGAGTTAGAATTGACTCAGTGTCAACTGGTTTGTCTATGTCCTCTAGTCACATTTTTCTTCTATGATCCTTTTTTTTTTTTTTTTTGGCCCCAGCTTCCTAAGTTTCCTTCCAAAGCTTACAGCATTATTCACTACCGCCAACCCTTTTCTCTACTTCCTTTCCCCTGTGCTTGTTAATTTCGAATTTATCCTTCATCCCCTCTTCTCATCACTGTGGAGACCCATACCCAGGCAGAAGGAAATTTTTGTTCAAAGGGACATGATTTTCATTGCAAATAGATCCAGTAGGATATCTGGGCTTGCAGATGGATCTTCATGCAAATGACAGTATTCCCTACCCTGCTCTCCCCTCCCTCCGGAAAGGCTGGATGGAGCTTCCCAAGAGTGAGTCCCCTTGGTTGTGGAATATCCCCAAGTTTGGCCCTGCTTTCTGACTGCTGAATAGGTGGGACACTTTTTATTCTCTACCGTATGCTTTTTGCTTTCTGGTTCCCTACCTCTTTCCCAGAACACTGCCTCTTCCCTCCTAACCTGCCTCCTTTCTACAGCCCTTTCCTTTCCCCATTCTGAGTAAAGCAAACACCTGTTAGAATTGAACCTTCAGTTTTTCTCTCCACCATCATTCTCCTTGTCATTAGCAACAGAAGCTGAACAACAGTTAATAAATATTTGCATTGCTCATAGGCCTTGAGGTAGGTAAATTTGGTTTTGTGGTGAGCTTAGGCTGCCTGTTGAAAATGAATTTTGGGGAAGTACTTATGGTATGGGTGTATCACTGTTGTGTTTATGTCTGTCCCAACAAGGGAAGCAGGAACTAAATGGCTTGCAAGGGAATTAGTTACAAGTCTGAAGAGCCACGTTTTCTTTCTCCGCTCTCTAGGATCACAGGACACTTAGCTAATCTTTGCTACGCATTGGTGCTCATTTTAAAAATGGGGATTAGGATGCTTCCCGTTACTGACTTCGTAGAATCTTTGAGGAGCCCAGTGCAATATATTGGTGAATTCTTTTGAAGAGCAGTATTATTACTGTTTCTTTTGTCAACTAAAACGTGCCAACAAAATGTTGAAACTGGACTTGGAGCACTAACAGTGTTAGAGGATTACGAATGAATCTTATAGCTCTTACATTGTGTGTCCTCATGAATCCCTGGCAATAGGGGCTCAAACAATATTGGGTGAATAGATAACTATCCAAGTGTCCGATTGCCCTGCGTCCCCTTTTCTCATTCTTATTTCACGTTGGCACCACTGCCCTCTCCTGGCGAGCAGCAGCATTACAGTGCAGGCGAGTTCATCAATGGGCCCCTACCCTGTGTTCTCTTCCAGCGCCCGTGCCCAGGTGCCCAGAGCTGGCTCCCCTGATCCCCGCGGGCCTCCAATCACTGACGGCTTGTCTTTCCTCCTCCCCATTCCACCCCACTCCCTTTCTCCACCTACCCCTGCAGCACTGCCAGTAACTCGAACCGCAGCACGCCGGCCTGTTCTCCCATCCTCCGGAAGCGGTCCCGCTCGCCAACCCCGCAGAACGTGGACGGAGACACCATGGTGGAGAAGGGCTCGGACCACTCCTCGGACAAGTCCCCGTCCACGCCGGAGCAGGGCGTGCAGCGGAGCTGCTCCTCACAGTCCGGCAGAAGCGGTGGCAAGAATTCCAAGGTGAGGTGCCCCTGCAAGGGCGCCTGCACTGAAGTTGGTTTTGGGGGTAGGAAGTGTGAAACAGAGATCCCCTTCCTCTAAGGCTTTATGTAGTCGAATATCCAGAGTGTCCCAGAGATGGTCCTTGTTTTCCAAGGTGAGGGTGGGGCGATCCGGAAAGAACCTCGTTAAATGCCCTCTGAGCTATGCAGGCAGAGGAAGACCAACGGGCTATGAAATTATCCCACTAGATTCTCCTGGAGAGAGCTTCCTGCTTAAGAGCAAGGGGAGAGGTCCAGGGGCTGGAGGAGGGCTGCTGGACCCTGCACCCCTTGTCACATCTGTTCCCTAGGCCTAGGAAAGAGGGGCCCATTACTTGGGACAGGTATGTGGCCAGGAACTTTGCAAAATATCCTTTTAAATACCCTTTTAAACTCCTTCTGCCAGTCACCTGCCTTGGTGCTAATTTACCTGCTGCTCACCTGGCAGAGAGTTCAGGGACAGGTCCCCTTTACTCCTCCCCAGGATGTCACCATTACAGCCTTAGCCTTCAGCCAAGGATACCCTTAAAACAGGCCCCCGTTGGGGCTGGGTGGTGATGTTCCCTCGAGAAGCTGCTCATCATCTCGAATGGCATTCAAGGCCCTGGGAACAGGGTAGGGTCCCATCCCCCCGCCCCCGGGAGGCACAGGGGTACCTTTCCACCGAATTTGTCTTTTGATTTCTTGTTCTTCCTCTTCTTCCCCACCATTTCCCCAAATACCTTCTTTGCATGCATGGTCTTAGTCTCACAAGCGCCTCTCAAAAGTAAGCCATCTTTTGTCTCTGTCTTTTTATCTCCCTTCTAGTGTTGACTGTCTGTAGTGCTCAGCACCCCGCTCCCCTCCATCCCTCCCAGTTCTGGCCCATATGTCTTGCTTGGGCACTTTTCCCAGAAGGGCCAGCCCCACTGCTGCCACACTGGCCGTTTGGTGTGAAGTTAGGAGGGATCGTTCTGCCTGTCCCCAAAGTTGGAGAACTGACCCATCCTGCCGCACCCCTTCCCCCAGGATGTCTTTGCCTGCTACCCAAAATGGCATCTGGCTAGGAGTTATGACTCCTCCCTCTTCTTACACAGTGTGTCTCAGTAGTGGGGTCATGTGAGGGATTAGTGCCATTCCTTTGAGGAAAGGTAGGACCCCTCTCTCTATCCTGCAGGTACAGCTACTCCCCATGGTGCGGTGAGTCTGCATCCCCAGAAGTGGTTGGGACTAGCTAGAGAAGTTGATTGAGGGTTAAGTTCCAATAGGTGACATGTTCAATAGCAGTAAGTCAAGAGCTCTCCCTAGCATGCTCTTGTACTCTCTGAGAGTGACTCAACTTGACTGCCCCTTTAATGCTGCCACCCACACTCCAGCCCAGAGACCGTGGTGTTCTTCGGCTCCTGGGTTACGATCAGAGGGCAGAATGTTTCCAGCAGCGGGCATGGGGCCAGCAACACCTGGAGGCTGGAGAAAATTGACCATCACCCCTGCCAGGCCCTGCAAAGATGTGGCCGGGCCCAGGAGGCAAAGCCAGAGTCGGCCCACGAGTTCAGAGCACTGATGAGAACTTGGAATGAGTGGAGGGTGAGCAGTAGGTATTTTAGAAGGGAAAGACTTGGGAAATGATACCCGTAGGGAGAAGGGGTGGGAGGTAGCCTGAAGAAGAGAAAGCTGAGAGATAACTTAATAACAGTCTCTAGTCTCTGGGAGCATTTTTGGGAGGAAGAGAGTCAGCAGCTGTTTTTTCCTGAGGCAGGAATAAGAGGCTACAGGGCTGTTCTTGCAAACTGTGACCTTCAAGTGAAAAGTACTTCTTGACTCTGAGGCATTTGGGTGGCTTGTCAGGCTGTGGAGAGGGGAGGCTGAACTCATCCTGGGGTGTGGAAGCTGGCAGACCACTCTGTCAGATACAGATGTGGAGACAGGTACTGAGATGACCTAGCCAGCCCCTCCCGCACCCTTCACACCACTAGCTTGGCTAATACGGAGACAAGAAGGCTGATGCCACCTGATTCAGATCGTTCCTTCTCCCTGCTTCTTCTTAGAGCCTTGGTATGCTTTTCTATTTTGTAATGAAATCCCAAGCCTCCTTTGTCTCTTACCCCTTGTCTAGCCAGTTACCCCATAGGTTTTATTATGATCTTTAGTTAGCACCTGTTTTAGTGAAGTGATGGATGGAGGTAATAAGTAATCCAGGTAGCAGGGTTTTGCTTTGTCTTTTAAAAACTTCTTAAATGGCAGGTTTTCAGAGAACGGGAGAGCAAAGACCATGTCCCTGTACCCAGGTCATCGAGACGGGGAGATAAGGAAAGTGCCAGATTACGTTCAGATCAATCACATACCCCTGTTGGCAAGTCTTTTGGGATGTCCCACGAATTCTGAGTCAGGAAGAGCTGTCTGTGTTAGGGAGCCGAGAATCATTCAGTGAGCAGGTGGCTCCAAGCCTGACAAGAAAGCCCTCTGAGAAGGATTTTACAGAGGTAAAAATGAAGGTTCCTGAAGGTCCAAGAGTTACGTGTAGATGGGGAGCTAATCTCATCTCTTGTCACGAAAGTGAAGGGGAGGTGACTGAAGAGATTGAGCTGAACATTCACCCTCCCTGTGCACACAAGTCTGACTTCTTAGTTATGGGGACCAGCTCCCCAGCCCCATTTTCTCATTATTCATTACCAGCACCACTCTACTGTCAAGGGCGAGAAGATAGGACCTGCCTGCTGGGGTGTGGGGACTCTGCTGGCCCTGGTGGGATTGATAGCAGCTGTGGAATGTCTGTGAATTGCAGTACAAGCTGGCTTCAGATCAGTGACATGAGAAATCAGGATCTGTGCAGTTTGAGGCCTGGGACAGAGTGAGGGAAAGAAGCCAGTGCAGTGAGGGGAGATGAGGAGGCTCTGTTGGTAAGTGGGAGCATTACCTCCAGCCAGTGAACATTGTCTCGGGTAGACCAGATGGGTTCATGGCTGTGACTCTCACAGTCAGAGTGGTCCTCAGCCAGCCAGCCAGCTTACCCCCTGTCTCTTGCCCACCACCTACAAGTGATGTCCTTATTTTTTTGAGAGAATTGGACATTGTCTCTACATCTTGGCATAACCCTAGAATCAGTCACAAGGCACAATGTCTGCTTCCTTCTTTTGGCCACTGAGTCTCTATTTGTTTATATATACAGGTTGGAGTAGGTCATCAATGAGACCTCCGTCCTGTGAATCTGCATTGTACTGCTGATGCTGACCCCTGCTACTCATTGTTATGCAGTGCTGCCCAAAGGAGGGACCAGAAGACTCAAAATCCCAAAATACCTTGAGCTTCTGTCACCACCCAGCTTCTGCTCTGCAATAATGGCTTTCGGCCACTAGAGGGAGGCAGGAACTTCTCTCCTGCTCCCATCCGCTCCAGAAATGGAGCTGGTATCTCTCAAGCTGGGATCAAACCCTTGGGTTTTGCGCAGCAATATGAACCCAGTGGGTGTGCACTAGCACATCTGGCCCTGATACCCTACTTCCCCTGTGTTTGATTTTTCTTGTGTGTGTTTTGTTTTCTCAATTCTAATTTTTGTGGTTTTCTTTCCAGTATGACAGACTTAACCTGATCAAAGTAAGAAGTCATTTATCCTCCAAATCCCACTAAGTCTAGAGCTACGCTAGTCCTCAGCCCTTCTCTTCTGCCCCTGATCCCACTTGCCAGACTCCTGGAAGCTTTGCACTGAGGCAGGAAACCATGTCACAGAAACTTGGGTCTGTTTCTGGGCTCGGCATTCCTTTAGGAGCTTGCTCATCAAACCTTGTAGGAAAGTTAGTAGTAGTGTCTTTTGCTCAATTCTCCATTCGCAAACAGCTTTCATCCCTGACTCTACCCCTTTCTGTTCAGCCAAATCCACTAACAGCCTTTCAGAATGCCCACCCCCTGGGCTCCCTGACTCTACTCCTTCCTTCCTTGGGGCCTGTCCTCAAGGATGGCCGGAGCAGGCAGCGTCACAGTTGCACAGTGAAGGCCTCTCCTCTCACCCTCAGGCCAGCACCCTGGACTGCCCTGCCTGCCGTGGGACTGGCTCCTGCCCTGGACTCAGTCCCAGCAAAGCAGCACAATGGAGAGGCTGGGAGAGATCAGGAACTTCTGCCCCTAGTGGACATTTTTGGAAGATACCTCATGGTGATGGTACAGTCTCAAGCTGAGTCTAGTACAAAATCTTCACTTTGGAGAATTCTTTGTCACATTTCTTCCCAGCACTTTCAAGTACATATTCTTAATCTCCTTTACAAAGGAGCAGATACTCCATACCTTCCAACAGCTAGATAGAGACAGGACAGGGGTTTCCTAGTTGAAGCTTCCTTTCTTCTTTTTTTTTTTTTGAAAGCTTCTTGCTGATCTTTTGTATCGTTCCAATTTTAGTATATGTGCTGCCGAAGCGAGCACGAAGCTTCCTTTCTGTATTCTGCAGTTCTTTGACCCAAACAGATTCACAAAGTACAAGAGTTGATGTGCCAGTGTGTGCTCAAGGAAATGGATTTCTGTTGTCTTGAGGGTGGTGAGAGAACCCACTGGGCCAGCTCATTGTTACCCCATTGCCTCTTTGATTCTTCCACAGATGCCAGGACAGCGGGACAGGGGGACTGAAGGGTGTACGGCAGAGGTCTCAGCTGTGAAGTAACTTTGATTTAACAAAGCACAGGGAGAGTGTAGGGTGGTTGAGGCTGGCAGTACCCTGAGTGCATCCCTTCTGCTCTGGGAAGCTGTACTTTCCTCACTGTCAGTGCAACCTCTTGGCCTATGACCTCAGCTGTGTGTGGAAGCCCAGCTCCTGTGTGAGGGTCTGTGAGTCAAGGAGCCCCATGTTACAGACCTATTCTAGGATATGCAGCCAAGGGTCCCCTCCTGCCTCTTTTGGAAGTGGCTTAAATGCTGTAGAGGCTGATTCTCAGCTCCAGGTTCAGCTTCTTGAATGATGAAAAAGTTGATTTTACCAGGATTTAGCCTTTTTCTTGCTAAGAAATTTCTGGGCTGGAAGAGAGATTAAAGCCATTATGGAAGTTTGCGACTTCCTTTAGGCCAAAGGACCCAGTGACCTTAGAGAGCAGTTGGGAGTGCCTGGTGTCTGTCCTGTGGCTGTATTCTGACTAGTGAGGTCAGCGTGGGGAGAAAGTGTGGCTTCTGCCCATACTTACCCCCTCAGTGCCCCGCCTCCAGTTCCTTTGCTGACTCTCAGAGTGGAGGTGGACGGTGCTAGTTGGGAGAGCCTGGGAGGTCAGTCACGCAGCTGTCACAGTCATCAATCCCACAGTACCACCACACTCACCTGTCCTCAGGGGCACAGTCTTCCCCCCTGCTGGACACATACTGTGCGGACATCTGAGGCAGGGGCTCAGAACCAGGTGGAGGAGGTGAGTCGGCTAATACCTGCGCTATTGACCTATAGGCAGCATTGCCCTCTAGTGGTTTACACCTTAACCACACACTCAGCAAGCTTTCAAAAAAAAAAACTAGAATATTTCAGTCTAAACCTATTGGACCTCTACCTCGTGGGATGCTAGCTGTGCGTGTGTCTGTCTGTCTAGGCAGGATGTGCAGTATAAGGAGTGAAGACAGACAAGGCACCATCGTAATATCTCTCGCATTTGCTTTAGACTCTGTGAACGCGAAGCTGAGTTTTCTATTCCAGGAGCTGAGCAGAGAAGGCTTGGCTTCTGGATCGGGGTGGAGTTTGTGTTGAGTGAGATTCCCAGAGAGTTGGAGAAGACTTTTACCTGTGTCCACCTCCCTCCCCATGCAGGCCACTGCCCCACCATTTCGCTTAGGAGCTCAGTCAGGTATTGGGTTGGAAGAGGAGATTTACTTCTCCACGTCTTAGGGCTAGTGTGGAAGAGCTTTAGGCAGCCTCTTTTCTTCTGGTCTCCCCTCAGAGTACCCCATCCTGCCTTCTGCTGGTTGGGGGCGGGCTGTGACTTGGAGCAGAAGGCTGAGATGGTCTCTCCCTGGACTTTGCTTCTGGTCAGGGCCCACTTGGGGACTGAGTCTTGAGGATGCCAACAGTGCATCCCTCACCCCCATCAGAAGAACCTTGTGATGGGGCTCTGACTCCCTCCTGGTCGAGCTATAGCTGGTGCTGCCGCTGCCTGCCACCCCAATTGCGGTGGGGCTTCCAGCATGGATTGCTCCTGGGCCTCCTTTCTGGGGCTGCCTTGAGAAAGGAGGACCCTCTGGAGCAGCAACCGGGGAAGCATTCAGCTGCATTGGGCTCCTCCTCCCCACCCGCCCTCTGCTGTCTGTGTAACCTGTCCTCCGGGCTGGGGACGCCCTGGCCATTCCTGCCACCTCTTCCCTGACTAACTTTACCTTCTCTCATTTTTATCCTTTCAGAAAAGCCAGAGTTGGTATAATGTAAGTATTCCCATTTCTCTTCTTGCTGGGTACACATGATTGGGTGGAGGAGGGCAGCGGGTGAGGGCATGAAGTGGTATGGAGGACCACACAGCTCCCCTGTGAGATTGTACACAAAGAGGGGGGCAGGAAGATGGGCTCCCTCCTTTCCACCCGCCCACCCCCATCTCCACCTCCCTAAAACCAGAAAAAGTACTTCTCTTCTGTAGTCATCTAGGACATGCGAGGAGAGGAATGCATTCATCCAGGGAGACCAAATCCCGCACCCTCCACTAAAGGCTCTTCTGGCTTAAAGGAGAAAACTGGTCAGAAAGTGTATGTGTCCCCAGCTCAGACAGAATTATGGGACAGGGGAAGCCCTGGTGCCCAAACCTAAGGCCTAAGCTTCTTCCCCTTGGCCTAGACAGTTAGGTGGAAATGCCACCAGAAAACCTTGCTCTGTTAGTAAAGCGACTGTGCCATTTAACAGCATTTGATTGCTGCCCCAAGCACCTCTCAATACTTCCAAGGACAGATTCCTATCTAGAAGACACACACTGCTCTTGACTCAGTGAGGAAAGTGGAGGGAGCTGTTTGATAGTTTCTTTTTGGAGGCAAGGATGATGAAGCTTTATCTCACATATTTTGGGCATGTTGTTAGGAGGGACTCATCCTTAGAGAAGGACTTCATGCTTAGAAATGTGGAAGGTCAATGAAAAAGGAAGACCTTCTTCAATGAGGTGAATTGACACAGTGACTGTAACAGTGGGCTCAAGTGTGTTGGACATGATGAGGCTAGCACAGGATAGGACAGGACAGGACATGGTTTGGATCCATAGGGTCACTGTGAGTCCTAGTTGACTTGATGGCTTCTAACAACAGCTGATTAAAGTTCCTTAGCTCTTGGCCTGCCCTGGAGCACTTAACTTTCAGGACTGCACAAAGAAGGTCTGGGGTGTGGAACCATCACTTAACCCCCACTGAGTCTGCCTCGCTCAGCTCTCTGATTGGGTCAATGAATGCCATTCCCCTTCCCCTCAGCACCAGAGTTCTGCTTCCTCCCAGGAGTTACAGACCTGGAGTCAGCATAGCGTAGGGTGAAACTGGGTATGAAGACAGATGCAGGAGAAAGGCTTGAGTCCAAAATCTCTTTCTTTCTCTTTCTTTCTCTCTCTCTGTCTCTCTCCCTCCTTCCCTCTCTCTCTCCTTTCTTCCTTCTCTCTCTCTCCTCTCTCTCCCCCTCCCTCCCTCTTTTCCCCTCCTTCTCTCTCTCTCCTCTCTTTGCTCTCTCCCCCCTCTTTTTCCCTCCTTCTTTCTCTCTCTCCTCTTTCTCTCCCTCCTTCTCTCTCTCTCTCTCTCTCTCTCTCTCTCTCTTCCACACAGTGCCCAGTGATTCCCCAAGGTGAAGCATGTATTGATTAGCCATGTGGGTTTAAACCTGCAGCTGCTGTGTGACCTGCCCATGCTGGGTACTGTTGACTGATCAGGAGGCAGAAGTTGGAGGTACTGACAGGAGGAGAGTTGAGGACTGAGGATGGCCTGGGGTGGAAGAGATATCATAGCTCCCCACAGCCTGCTCCCCAGCTGTCCCTACCCTTCCTGTCCACACTCTGCATAGGGTCCAGATCTCTGATCTCTGGGATATAAAACTCATAATGGAGCTCTACTTTTTTGGAAGTGGTCCCAGCTCAGGCTGTTGAGGGGCATCCGACATCCTTCACTCAGCAACCTGTTCCCCTCCTCGGCCCGCCCTTTTTCAGCCCGCCCTTTTTCAGTGTGAAGACTGAGAGCCTGTAGAGGGGAATGGCGAACAGTGGTCACACACGTTCCCAAGGGCGCTACAGTCAAGCTGGCTCCCACTCCAGAGTGTATAAGTTGGGACTTGGGACTCCTAGCGCCCCTCTCGCGAGTGTCTGAGACTTTAAATCTTCTCTTGTGGGACTTGTTGACGGATTTGAACCTTGGTGACATGACTTTTTGGGCTAGCAGCTCTGCTCTATTGCTCCACTACCAGAACTTACCCAAATCTAGACCCCAATCTAATCTCTCCTTGTTGATAATACCCTTCGCCCTCACTCTATGCCTTGTTTTCTCCTTCATGTATTCTCCCCTCCCTTAACAGCCCTCCACCCATCTCCTCCATTTTCCCTCTCAATTTTCCTGACTGGATTTTTCCTTTCTCTTCCTCTGTAATCCTCTTTCTCTTTCCTTTTCTCTCGCCCGCCCTTTTCCTGTCTAATTCTTCCTCTCTCAGCCCTAAGCATCCTTGGTGCATTCAGCACAGAGGTGGATTAGAAATAGGTGCTGCTTCATGGCTGAGAGTGAGTGAAGAGCCGCCTTCTGAGAAGTAGGTGCACCTAGGGGTGCGTGTGAGGATGGGTCTGGCCCGAGTCCTGGCCTCCCTGCGGTTCTTCCTGTGGTTCTGGTCTAATAGACTTCATTGAGTCTTCACATGACCTTATATGAAATTACCCTCCAGGCTGCTGCTTGTCCAGTTCTTGCCTCCTCCCATGCCCTCTCTTTTCCCAGATAGTCTCTTTGCACCCTCAACCCCTCACCCTAAATGAATTACAGAAGCATTACCGACTTTCTGACAACACAAATCATTGAGTCTCTGAGGACGCCTGTGCCAGAGGCTCTTTCTCAAGCAGCATCTAGTGACCCATCCTCTCCCGGACATATGCTCACACTGGGCACTTCTAGAAATGTGATGGTAGATGTCCTGGGGCCGGTGACAGGTGTCGACCTGCTGCTTCCTCTCCCCATCCTTGATCACTGGGAAGCCCTTCCTGGAACTGCCAGGGTGACTGTGTGTCTCACTTCCACTGTCCAAGCCCTGTTCTTCTCAGTCCTCTGAACCTTCTAGGAAGAAGACCTGGCACTACCCTTTGACCACTAGACCATCAGCACTTCTGTGGGAGGCTCTTTCTCAGTCCCTCTTTGAACTTCTCCTCTAAGCCAGCTTTATGGTTTAACTTTGCATCTGTGTCATTAGGATCAAGAAGGATACCCTCCCCTTCTTAGCTTATCCAGGGTCCTTTTTATAATCTCATAGCACTGGAGTAAGCACTCTAGTTTTTCCACCTGAGGCAGCTTCTTTATTCTAGAAGCCCTTTAGATAGGTTAAGGTTTTATAACCCTGCCTTAGGGACCCTTTGAAACCTGGCTAGATTCAGAACACTGAGAGCCATTGCCCTGTAGAGGTACTGAAGGTGGGTTACTGGAGAGGAGTGGGAGGAGACCAGGGTCTTCCATAAAAAGACCCCCACCCAACACCTCTTTTTCCACCTTCACATTCTTCCCTTATCACCTCTTCTGTGCAGAAAACAAAATACATTTCGCTTTTATTTGGCCAAGGAGCACCTGGAAGGGTCCTCCCATAATGACAAAGTGCCTTGCTTTAAAGAGTGGCACACACATAAGACAAATGTCTGGGCTCCAGGGACACAGGTCTGAGATGGGAGCCTCATGGTTTCCCCACAGAGTTGTTCAAGCTGCGAGTGGAAGTTAGAAGTCCATGCAGCTACCCTCAGTTCCCCCAGGCCTGATCATATCTCTGTGCCCTGGCTCCTCTCCTCATTGCTGGTGCCTCAGGGTGGGGCCGTGTGCACTTCTCATCTGTCCCAGGCCTCTTTGCTGCTGGTCGTTTTTCCATGACACTCTTTTCCTTGGCAACCCAGGGAAGACACATTACTGAGATCAGGGGACAGGAGCCCAGACTCGAACAACCCAAGGTCCAAAGCCCCGGGTTTATGAGGAGGAAAGAGGGATTGTCCTGTAGAAGAGTCCAAGAGACCTGACTAGTAGGTTTCAGAGCATGAGAACAAACGTTTATAGGAGTGAATGCAGAGAACATGGTTCTGAAAGGGAAGCTTGTCAGACTGGCATCTTGCTCTGGGAAGTCACTGCTCCCTCCATCCCTGTCCGTTCTACCTCTGGTATCCACCTGTCACCTTGAGCAGTCTTAATGACCCTGCCCCTGCTCATGTCCATCCCTAACTTTCTTCAGAATTTATTCAGTCTCCCTGGATGGGAACCCACTCCTGCATCGGCCTTTCTTTGTTGTCTTCAGCCCATCGGACTCGTCTCTCCTTTTTCTGATCAGTTCCTTCTCCTCTGCCCCCTTATCCGTAACTGCCTCCTCTCTACCTGGACTTGTTTGGAAGGCCAGGTTTCCTTTGAGAGTCTCACTGGTTTCTTCCTAGATGAGATCACTGCTCCTCCAAAATCCATCTGTTGTTCTCCTGCCCTTCCTCCTGCTATCCCCAGAGAGGGAGTACCATTCTGTCCCAGCTCCCTGTGTTTGTCATAGGGTTAATGTTTAGCCCAGGGCTAATTTCCTCTCCCCAGGCTGCCAGCTCCCTGTCTGCCCAGGCCTTTGTGAGACAAAAGCTGATACATACTGAAGCTCATCTCCCAGCTTGTTATCTCTTTGGGTGTATCCTGCCCCTCCCTCCCTCTCAGCCCTAATAGTCACCAGCTCACAGGACCTGGAGCAATAGTCAGATGGTTCTTGGGAATGACACTGAGGGATCTAACCTCTATTAACCTCTCCCACTAGATCCTAGGGTCTGGTGTGGCCAAGGCAAAGCTGTCTTGGAATAAAAGCAGAATTGCTGTGCTGTCCTGTCATACTGTTTAGGAGCCCCCTGGCACATGCAGGGTGGGGGGAAGCTTGACATAACCGAGGTCCTATGTATATAGAATGTGAGGATCTTTGGGCACGTGCACATACAGGATTTCGTGTACATGGGACCACTTTGAAGGTGTCTAAGGAATGTATTATTTACTTGACCATAATTATTGTGCACCTAGTATTTCTAACACATCATGCTAAGTGCTGTGGGAGATAGAAAACTGTTTAAGACATGGATGCTCCCTCGAGATATTGATGCTCCCTGCAGTAAGTTACTACATGTGGTGAATGGGAAAGGATTTCGATTTTATCTTTTTTTGTCCAGTACTCTTTACCCAAGCAAGCCCAGGTTCCTCTAAATTGGAATCTTTGGGTTAGGACCCAG